GTGCATTTTAATTGGGAAGGGCGCGACGTCGAGGAAAGAGAAGCGAGTGCCGGAGATGCATTGAAAGTAAACCGTATAATCCGTGAGTCGCGGAACAATAGCGGGGACTCGACGACGATGGAAAGGTCCATTAAGGCGGCTTTGTAAGGCGCGGCGGCGAAACAGGACCTGGAAACTTAGAAAACGCTCCGCGATAAACTCCAGAAGAGCGTGAGGGAAGATGTGCAAGGGGTTATTGACGAAAGTGGGACGGTAGAGGCTTGCGAAACATAGTCACGAGATGCGGGAGACGGTGGTGGAGGGTACGGATAGAGCGGATAGTCTTGATGGAGAGGGGGTGCCATAATATTGTTAATTATTCAGAGGCACTGTGGACCGATTAATTAACTGAAGCCACTCCGGCCGAGTTAGGCATTCAAGGGAGCTCTGCAGACGCGTCGTTCGAGCGAGACAAAAATCCCGGTTAAATAATTACCAATGTCCAAAGGAAAGAAACTGCGAAAGAGCTGGAATTCGTCGGCGCAGTTGAGAAAGGACGAAAGAAAAGAGCGATGGAGGGATACATCAGCGGCAAGACATTTTTTGCCTCGAATGAATATGTATTTTTGGTACCCAAAACTCTTGCGATAATTACTCGCCGTGGACTCCTTAAAAAAATTAAATGAGTAATAAAGAATATTATTTTGTTTTTTGCTCACGATTTTTACGAGAATAAAAAAACTTGTGAGAGACGCATAAGTCGAACATATCGCAGTGTCTCAAATATATTAACAGATATTTATATTATTATTTGTCTCAAACTTTTTACGTATACTTAAATCTAATAATTGCCCTAAATAATAAGGTATTTATTGTTCAGAAAATAAATCAAATCTTTTTTGCTTCAATTTCAGCGGCACGAATAAGATTCCGGTAGGGCAGTTACGCGTCACTCTGGGCGAACACAATTTAAAGGCTCCGGAAGTGCCAGCCGCAAGACACGAAAGCGTCATAAACGCGGTGTTGCATCCTGGTCACAGGTGCGGCAAGTATGTGGATGATATTGCTCTGCTAGAGCTTGCTAGACCGATCAGTTGGTCGGAAAGCGTGAAACCCGCATGTTTACCTGTGGCCACAGGCCAACCAGGGTATAGCGCCTTCGGCGGTGTTGAAGCTATAGTAGCCGGATGGGGATGGCTCGGGGAAGATAGAAGCAAATGTAAGTAAATAATTGTCCCTCTTTCCGATACCAATTACGTACAGGGGATTAGCTCTTATTACCCAATTAGCCAATTGCATATCTTTGATACCTTATTCCCGTAACGTCATTATTCATAAAACTATCTAAAGTTTCGTTATTTCATTAAGTTTCATTATTTATTCTAAAAGTTTCATTATTTATTGTCATATAATATTGCATAATTTAAAAAATATTTCCTACTCGAATATACCGTCTAAAATATTTAATATCGCGTTAACGTGATTGTCAAGGGCGTTCACTTTCAATTTCTGTCAATTATCAATTATTTGGAGATTGGCGCATTTTGTGCATGAGCGTGATTGCATCATATTTCATGGACATTGAATGAATCCCTGTTAGGACACGGGGAGGTCCTACTTGATCGTCGACCAAGTTGCGAATAGCACGGTCTTCATAAATACCTGAGATACATCGGTAAGCCTGAAGTTTCGATAAATCTTATCACGATAACGATCGGAGCGACGAAACACGCGCCAAAGTTTCCATAATCACCAAAGTTTCTAGAAGCGTTGAAGTCCCATAGCGTGGAAGTATACCAATTCTCTCTCTCTCTCTCTCTCTCTC